TGCGGTACATTCCATGTGGTGTAATTCATTTTGACTGAAGCTGTCCTCTCCGCTGCTCGTGCAAGTATCCCACCTCCCACCCGCAACTTGTTCGCAAGACTTCTTAAGACCGTGGCGGTGGGTACCACATGACACTTGGCAACGACAGAGCCGCCGCCGACGACAGCGACAACGAAGACGACGACGCCGACGACGACTACGATGACACCGACGACGTCTCCGACGACTTCGGCGACGACGACAACGACGACGACGACGGCGACACCGACGATGACGACGGCGACGACGATGACGACGCCGACGACGCCGATGGCGACGACGACGCCGACGACGAGGACGGCGACGACGACGACGCCGACGACGACGACGACGACGACGAGAACGACGACGACGCCGACGACGACGACGAATACGACGACGACGGCGACTACGCGAACGACGAAAACGGAGGGAGGAGGGCGACGCCGACGACGACAACGACGAGGGAGGAGGGAAGACGACGACGACGATGACGACGGCGACGAAATAGGAGGGATGACGACGACGACGTCAAAGAGGACGACGACGACGAGGAAAGACAGAGGACGACGACGGCGACGACGACGACGAGGGAGGACGGATGACGGGGACGACGACGACGACGCAAGAGCGCGCGCGCATGATTTTGTTGAAAATACGTGTTGCGAAACCCTCTGTTTTTGCACGTTTTTGGGACACTCGATTTGGACATCCGTCCGAAACCGAAGGTTTTTGAAGGATTTCGGCATGCGCGCGCGACGACGCGCGCGCGTGCACTTCGTCCCTTTTTTGTTGCAGAGGATTCTCGCGACGGCGCGCGCGCAAGGGCATGCGAGCGCAAGAGCGCGTGTGTAAGCTTTTTTAAAACATCAGTGCTGCCAAACCCTGCGCGCGCGACGACGCGCGCGTGTGCACTTCGTCCCATTTGTTGCAAGGGATTATTGTAAACTTATGTTTTTTGATAAACGTGTGTGCGCGCATAGCCTTTTCTGCAGAGGGTGGTGGGGGGAGTGGTACGGCTTTGGCTGGGATGGTATGAATCGAGAATCTAGGCTGCGACGAGGCGGCGAACGCCAGGCGGCGCGGGGGCGCGACGCGAGCACGGAGCCGCCAGTCCGACACTCAGGGCCAGTTTCTTAGCAAAAAACAACAACCCGAAGTGCAAACACTATGTGGGGGAAACGTTGGCTAACCATAAACCTGCAAGACATGCGGACAGCTTAGCCCTGGGTGAGGATTGGATTGGGCCAGGAATGATTCCAACAACCACGATTCTTACAGCGGTTCCTAGAACCTGTGCGAATCCCCACCCGGCTGTCGAACTGTCTGGCCCGCTGTCGAACTTTGCGGCACGCTCCGTCCATGAACACCGTTCCCGTGATGAGGCCACCATTTTTGTATATGACGTGCCAGTTCGTAGAGACATCCCGTTGATGGAGGGCTGGGCAGCAACATCTGCCAATAGGGCCCTGATCTCACATCCATGCTGCAGGTTGGCGTGCAGCCACTCGCTCAAGGTGTGCCTGCTCATCTTGCTCCCGACCCAGATCTCCCTAACTTATGTGGCAAGCGTCACATGGACTGGACTGGCACCTCGCATACTTTGCTGCGGTCTCACTGTAGCTGCATCGAAAAAGTCGATCTGGGGACCACATGCCACCATCGATGATGGCACGAAAAATGACAGTTTCACGTAAAGGAGGCTTCCAGGAGTTGGCAGGGGCAGCTTTGGGCTCTACAGGGTCATGTTCGGAGTCCTCAGGGTCCTCTTGATCTTGTCCAGGGTCTTCCCGAGAGTAGGCGTCCTTGAGCAACCGCAGAGGAAGCGCAATCTCGTATCCTAGAGGCTCCTTGGGTCTCATGACTTTCCCTGGTCAGTCCGGCCGCTTGGCCCAATGCTCCCACAGGGACATATCGCAGCGTCTCTCGCCAAGATTTTGATGGACGATGGTGATGGCGATGACGATGCTGAGGATGCTCATGCTGTTGATGATGATGGTGATGATGATGCTGATGCTAATGATGATAATGATGCTGATGCTCATGCTGGTGATGCCGATGCAGACGATGATTATGATGGTGATTCGGATTATTGTCAATATGATGATGCTGCTGATGATGATGATGCAGATGACGATGATGATGCTGGTGATGATAATGATGATTGTGGTGATGATGCTGATGATGATGGTGATGATGATGATGATGATGATGATGATGAGGATGATGATGAGGATGATGATGAGGATGATGATGATGCTGGTGATGCTGATGCTGCTGCTGATGATGATGACGATGATGAGTGTGATGCTGATTTCGATGATGCTGCTGTATAATGATGACGGTTGTGATGAGGCGAAGGAACATATACATATGAGGATGATGGCGAAGAGGACGATGATGCTACTGATGCCGCTGCTGCTGGTGCGGATCCTGTTAATGCGGTGGACGATCTTGGATATGTGGGATGTTGCCGCTTCTGCTGTTGCTGTTGTTGTCGCTGTTGCTGTGGTTGCTGTTGCTGCTGCTGTTGTTGTTGGTATCGTTGTATGTTGGTGATGTTCGTTTTGCTAGATGATGCTGCTGCTGCTCAGAATGATTGCGATGCTGATACTGATGCGTAGAGAGGACCGCCATCGAAATCCGTCTGAAGGAGGATGAGGCGAATGGCGGTTGGACCAGGTCTGATAGTGGATGCTGGAAGAGGATGGGAGTGGGTGGGGCAGGGGAATAATGATGTGGGTGATGATGAGAAGACTGACGAAGATCTGACGATGAGGAGGATGAAGATGAGGAGGCGGAGGAGGAGGAGGAGGAGGAGGAGGAGGTGGAGGAGGAGGAGGATGCGGAGGAGAAGGATGAGGATAAGCAGGACGAACAACACGGATATGGAGGAGGTTGATGAGAGCCAGGAGGAGGCAGTGGATGACGGGGACGACGGTTTCGGGCTAAGAAGAAGTAGGGGGAGGAGGAGGAGGAGGAGGAGGAGGAGGAGGAGGAGGAGGAGGAGGAGGAGGAGGAGGAGGAGGAGGAGGAGGAGGGAGGGAGGGAGGGAGGGAGGGAGGGAGGGAGGGAGGAGGAGGCCGAGGCGATGGACGAGAAAGAGACATTGGTTAGAGCAGACAGAGGATGAGGTCGAGGATGAGGATGAGAAAGAGGATGCTGTCGAAAGTGATGATGATGATGCTGATGATGATGCTGCTGATGATGATGATGATGATGATGATGATGCTGATCATGATGATGATGACGATGATGAGGAGGATGCTGATACTGATGAGGATCATGGTGGTGATGCTGATGATGATGTTGATGATAATGATGATGTCGATGCTTATGATGATGACGATGGTGGTAGCGATGGCGATTAACATGACGATGGCGACGATCATAATGATGGTGGTGGTCGTGATGATTGCTGTTGTTGCGGGTGAAGATGTTGATAATGATTGTGGTGCTGATGATGATCATGATGATGACGATGCTGATTATGCTGATAATGCTGCTGCTGATGATGATGTGGATGTGATGCGGACGATGCGGATGATGGTGGTGATTGTGATGATGATGACGATGATGATGATGCTGATGATGATGATGATGCTGATGATGCTGATGATCAGCAGGAGGAGGAAGAGGAGGAGCGGGATGATGCTGCTGAAGACGACGACGACGACGACGGCGATGATGATGCTGATGATGATGGTGGTGGTGGTGGTGATGGTGATGGTGATGGTTGTGATGATGATGATGATGATGATGTTGATGATGATGATGATGATGATGATGATGATGATGTTGATGATGATGATGATGATGATGATGATGATGACGAGGAGGAGGATGAGGAGGGGGAGGAGGACGAGGAGGAAGGATGATCGCCACCACAGAGGTCGGGGGCAGTGGTGGTGCACAGTCGAGACCTTAGAAATGGACCGTTTTGGATTGGGGAGGGCCTCGTGGTTCCGTGCTTTTCTCCTTAGGTTTTCCTCGGGGCGCAATTGAGGCCGAAAAGGTCCGTATGTGGCAAGGCATTGGCTGTACATGTGGAGGCGCTCTCGCGGCGGCGTCCTGCACATTTGCGCCCCACGATGCAGCAGATCTTGGAACGCCCCAGTGGTGTTGGTGCTGAGTTACCTTCCGCCTGCTATGGCGGCAGTGCTGCCATGATCCGGCGGGGGCACCAAAGAGCTTGTCGGAGCGGGCCCGCACATTTGATAAACACGTTTGAACCCGTGCAGCGGTCAAACGGAACGGAAGGCAGATCCTCTTCAGATCGGGGCCGTTGTTTGGTATTTTCCTGATATTCATCATGCTGCAATTGTGCGCGTCTGCTAGCGAGAAGTACGGGTTATGGACCCTTTGCAACAAGAGGCCCCGCCTGTGTGGCAGGCCTACCAGGCGCTCGTCAATCGAGGGGGGCGCCCCCCGCAGTGGACAGGAGTACCCGCAGGGGCTTGCGCGGAGGGGACTTGGGGGACATGCGGGCTGTAGTGCAGCACATTTCATGAATCCTGGCTTTACTCTGGTCCTCCTCCATCTCCTTCTCCTCCTCCTCCTCCTCCTTCCTCATCATCCTCGTCCTCGCCTTTGCCCTTGTCCTCGTCCCCGTCCTCGAGTTGCCTCTCGTCCTCCAGTGGTGTCCCGGGCCTTCTCGTTCCACCGCCGGTAGCTACCAGCTGCAGGTTGACACCACTTATCCGGCTCAAGGCCCAGGTGGACCCCTTGCCCTCCTCGCCCTTGTCATCGTCGTCGTCGTCAACTTTTGGGTGTGGCTGCAGGAAGAAGGAAGGCCCCTGTCAAATCAGACACGAGGGCTTGTGGTTGTCGATGTCCTCGTCGTCGCCACCGCCGTCGTCGTCGCCGATGTCCTCGTCCTCGTCGCCGTCGACGCCGTCGACGTCACCGTCGTCGCCGCCGTCGCCGCCGTCGCCGCCGTCGCCGCCGTCGCCGCCGTCCAGGGCCCGCCCCGCTGGCGGCAGATGCTGGCGCTCCGGGCCGCCCGCGCGTGGGCCTCCGCCGCGGCCTCCGCCGCGCCCGCGCACGCGCCGGCGCGCCTGGCCGCCGCGCGCGCGCAGAGCGGCGTCGGCGGTGGCGCCCCTCCCGAGGACCTTGGCGGCGCGCAGGGGTCCTGGCATCGCTCGGACGTGTGCGTTTTTTCTTTCGGCGAGGACTGTCGAGGAGTTTCCTGTGGATTCATCTCGCGAGCAGAGTGCGCGCGAGACCAGACACATGTACGGGGAGTGGACGTCCGAGCGATGGCAAGGGGTGGGGCGTGGGCGGTGGCGCACCGGGGGGGGGGGGTGTCCTTGGGAGGAGGGCGGCGGGCCCCGCAGGGGCTTTTCTCCCGCCTGCTCTTGGGGGCTTCTCTCGCAGCCAACCCCCCCTGGGAGCCCCTCCGAGAGGCCCCGTGCCTTCTTGGGAGGCCGCGCCCCTCGCCCCGCCCCGCTGGCGCGCCGCCAAGAGGGCGGTGGGGGCCCCGAGGAGGACCACGAGAGCGACAGGGACCACGAGAGCGACAGGATGGAGGCTCTCGCGGGGCTCTACGCGGATGCGATGCGGCACCAGGAGCTGGGCAGGCTCCAGGCGGCCCGCGGCGCCATCGTGGAGCATAACCACGCGAAGTACATCGAGCAGAACCACCACTACAACCGCTACATCAAGGGCCTCAAGGGGCCCAACCATTACGGCGTTCAGCTGCCATACGAGGCGAGGAAGAAGTACAACAGAGGCGCGCGAGGCAGATGGGGTACCTTGCGCCGCTCGGCCGGGCGCCTGGGCTGGATCCAGACCACTCGCTGATTCCGGCAGCCAGTTTCACCTCCAGGAAGCGCTGGCGTTGCTCGGATGGCCGTCTTGAGCACGCCATAGTAGGTCTGGCCTTGCTCTTTTCAGGCCGCGCCAGATGGAGCCCACTTGCACAACTGCTCTAACCAGGTGTCACCAGTGTGTCTCGTAAGAAAACCTCTCCCCCATTCTGGGCCCGCGGGTGGTGCGCGGACGCTGTCTAGCCACCCATTCTGGAGGGTGCGGAGTAGGAGCAGGAGGAGCAGGAGGAGGCAGGAGGAGGAGGAGGATGAGGAGGATGAGGATGAGGAGGATGAGGAGGATGAGGAGGATGAGGATGAGGATGAGGATGATGATGATGATGATGACGATGATTTGGATGATGGTGATGCTGCTGATGATGATGATGCTGATGATGATTCTGACGATGATGATGATGATGATGATGATGATGATGATGATGATGATGATGCTGATGATGATGATGATGATGATGATGATGATACTATGATGATGATTATGATGCCGATGCTGCTGCTGCTGATGATGATGATGATGATCATGATGATTCCGACGACGACGATGATGATGATGATGATGATGATGATGATGATGATGATGATGATGATGACATGATGATGCTGATGCTGATGCTGATGCTGATGCTGATGATGATGATGCTGATGATGCTGCTGCTGCTGCTGCTGATGATGAGGAGGAGGAGGAGGAGGAGGAGGAGGAGGAGGAGGAGGGGGAACAGGGTTTCATGGGAAGGGGTCCTAGGGAGTAGGGGTTCGCATGGATGCAGGAGCGAAGCTGCAGGGTACGGAGGCGGGGAGGACGACGGACGAGGATCGAGGATGGGCAGAAGGAGGAGGAGGACGACGTTCTGAGCGACGCGGCGAGGAAATCATTCGATATCCGAGGCTGCCAGAATTGGTCTGAGGAAGGCGGGAGGGAGAGAGAGAGAGAGAGAGAGAGAGAGACAGAGAGAGAAATATGGAGGAGGGAGGGCCAACAATGACCAGAAGGGAGAAGAGTAACGCCAGTAAGACCCCTTGGTGAAGCGCCACGTCGACGTGGCGGCGATGCTGTCGCGGGTGTTCACTGTTGAAGGCCTTTCGCAGCCTGAGTAAGACCAGTCTTGATCGAGCTTCGCTGTCGGATAGTGGAGATCGCTAAGTATGGAACGATCTACGCGGCACTGGAAGCCAGCGTCCGCGCTCACACGACAGGAGCCAGCCATACTCGATAGCCCAAGGGCACGTGGGGAGGCGGGATCACGGCACGGCGGATGCACAGTCTGCGGAGCCGCCGACGCCCGACTGGTTTTTCACCCCTGGCCAATGTTTGACGGGCCTGGGGCCCAGACGGAGCCCCCAGAGAGACTGGGGACAACAAACATCTGGACCAAGCACCAACTTCTGGAGGTCCGCTCGGATTTCTTGCCAGGGAAGGGGGTCCAGCGCCGATCCGAGACATGCGTGCAGAACTTCCGGAAGTCGACTTGTCCTCTTCTGACCGTGTCGCTGGGGGCCTCTGGGAACGCCTTGAGGCCGAGGGACGAGGACCCATCCCCAGGCGTGACTTTCTGGATCCGCCGTCGTCGCGGGTCGTCGCCAGTCGCCGCCGCCCGGTCCGACCAGGCTCGGCGGAGCCCGTCGGTCGTCTTCGGGCCGGAGCCTGGCGCCGCCGCGGGGGAGCGCCTGGCGCGGTCGCAGAGGAGTGCCCTGCCTGTCGCTCCTGGGTGTCAGCGGGGGGGGGAATAGAGAGAACGCAGGAGACGCACGACGGGGGGGGGAGTATGGTTGCTGATGGTGGTGATGATGATGACGATGATGACGATGATGATGCTGATGCTGCTGATGATGGCAGTGATGTTGATGTTGATGATGATGCTGATTCGATTCACGACGACGACGACGATGATGATGATGCTGATGATGATGCTGATGGTGATGATGATGATGATGATGATGATGATGATGATGATGATGATGATGATGATGATGATGATGTTGATGATGATGATGATGATGATTATGAGATTGTTGTTGTTGTTGTTGTTGTGGTTGTTGTTGTTGAACATTATTACTTCTAAAGAATAATTATTGTTGGGACCCCTGGTGCACGACCCCCCCGCCGCGCCTAGGCCGCAGCCTCATTTTCATCATTTTCGTGAGGAAGTCTCAGGCAAAACGGGTTGGTCCGGATCCGGTTGTGTTGTTACGATCGGTTTTCCCTTGCAAAAAATAAGCTAAAGTGGACATTTCTTGTTCTAACATAACCAAACTTCAAGAATCCCTTGCAAAAAATAAGGTAAAGTGGACATTCGCGCGCGCAAGACGAAATCCTTCCAAAACCTTAGTTTTCGTAGCGATTTTAACATAAAAACATCAAAAAACCAATGGTTTTTCAAAAAAAATTGTCAAATTTCATCCCGCGCGCTCTTGCGGATTCGTAGGAAACCCAACACTTTTTAATCATTTCTGTCAAACGGGCTTTTGCGAGCAACTTTTTCGAACTTCTGCAACAACGGTTGCGCACCTGCCAGGGCCATCATCCCTGTCAAATAATACCATGCGGGACACATTCGTTTTTTCTTCGCGCGCGCACGCCGTCGTCGTCGGCCGCGGGGCCCTGAATAGTAGCCACGGTCGTCCGCATGCCACGAAGTGAAGTGTCCGAACGTCATAGGGCGGGAAGCTGGGTGTGGGTGGTGGCGAAGAGTCGTTTGGAAATTTGGTAGAGCTTGAACCGGCCCCCCCACAAAGTGGGGGTATTGCCCGCCTCCTATGAAAACCCTGGCACTGGTGAGAACGGAGTGTCCCCACGTGCTAGTAATTGTTGTTGTTGTTGTTGTTGTTGTTGTTGTTGTTGTTGTTGTTGTTGTTGTTGTTGTTGTTGTTGTTGCTGTTGTTGTTGTTGTTGAGCTCTCATTACTGAAGAATAATTATGGTTGGTCCCCCCCCTCCGGTGACCATTGTGTTTTTTCAATTGAAGTGCTTCTCCCAGGGCTCGCACCCTGTTTTTTCTAACCAGGGAAAGTCACGGGGCTCAAACTGGGTCCCTGGCCCCCGGTTTACAACAACAGCGGCTCCCGCCTGATACTTCCTCACAATTTACTAGCAAATCGCGCTCTCGCGCGGACTTCCTCACAATTCATGTACGAATAGCGCTCTCGCGTGGGACTTCCTTGCAATTAATTCAAGCGATGCGCCCTCGGCTCTCAGAAATCACGCTCTCGCTTTGGCTTTTCTGAAGATTTACTTGGGAATCGAACTATGGTTCGAGACTTTCTCGCGATTCTGCAGGACCCACGCTTCAGCGACCCGCTTGCTCGACCTGGTCGCCTGGGCCCGCCTTCCCGACCTGCCCGCTATGAGCTGCCCACCCGATTTGCCCGTCTGGTTCTACCACTTGTTTTCTGCTCCTTGCCCCCCTCCTGCTAATTTCTCTCGTGCCCCATTCTTCTTCCTCCCTATTCCACCCGTCCTCTCTTCACTTGATTCAGGGGCTGCACTACATGCACGAGGCAGGTAAGGAAGATTTACCCCGAGGGGGTACGATCGAAGACGACGAGCGCGATTACCGAGGGTTTGGGATACACGTATTGGTTGGCACGTGGGCAGATCGGAGCGAAAAGTCTTAAACTGCTTGTGGTTGTTATTGTTGTTGCTGTTGTTGGCGATGATGGTTGTGATGAACATTGCGCTGGTGGTGGTGATGATTACGGTTATGGTGGTCATGAGGGTGATGTATGTGATATTGATGGTAATCATGTCGATGATCATGATGGTAACGGTGGCGGTGGTGATGATGGTGACGGTGACGGGGATGGAAGCGATGCTTGTGATGATGTCGATGGATGCGACGATGGCGAGTTGGATGACGATGTTGATATGGCTGTTGCTGGTGATTGGTGATCATGCGGGCGCAGACCGTGCTGAGGATGAGGATGCTGCAGCTGTTGGCGAGCCGTATGCTGGTTGGGATGACTACTCGTATGATGATGCTGATTGCGCAGGCTGGGGCGTAGCGAGCCAGGATGGACGATGAGAAGCAGACATTAGGAGAAAGGTGAGGAGGGAGATGGAAGCAGGAGTGGGAGGGGGGATGATGGTGATGGTGCTGCTGCTGATGATGACGAGGAGGAGGAGGAGGAGGAGGTGGAGGTGGAGGTGGAGGTGGAGGTGGAGTAATGAGGGGGGGAGAGGAGGGATGCTGGGGAGCGGTGCGTGGGAGGAGGTGGAGTTGTGGGCGTACGGGGAGGAGGACGGGAGCGGAGAGGACGAAGAGGATCCTCCTCCTCCTCTTCCTCCTCCCGCTCCCGCTCCTCACTGCGTGTTTCCTCTTCTCCCCCGCAGCCAGTTTGGCTCGCTTCCCGAGGGCCCGGGGAGGGCCAGACCTCCGACGCCGCGACTCCTTCGCCCCGTGGGGCCCTGGAGCTCTCGGCCCGGGGCTCTTCTCTTCGAGCTGGGCTCGGCGCTCTGCCGAGGCAGCTCTTCTGCCTGCTCTGCCTGCTCCTCCTCCTCCTCTTCTTCTTCTTCTTCTTCCTCCTCCTCCTCCTCCTGAGTATGCGGCCCGCTTGGTAGACATCTTGCATCACTTCGACCAGGCCCCGAAAGACCTCCTATTATTTATGACTGATATCGTGTTCTTGGATCAGAGCGACGGGGGAGTGCGACCGATCGGGCTCTTGGCGTTCTGCTCGAAGGCGTGGTCCAGGCTCCGTTGGCCGCTGTTCAAAAGTGGGAGCAAGCCCACCTTGATGAAGTTTTCTGGGGCGTTAGCAGCACCACTGCGTGTGAACGAGCGGGGTGGACACACAATCTCTTGGGCAGTCATCGTAGACGGGTGGGTTTCGATTCAGGTTCAGCCTTAGTAGACTTGTTTAAGTTCTACGAGCACATCGGCCACGAGGACTTGCGTGCGGCTGCTGTTGGGTTCGAGTTTCCCATTCGCCTGCTCCGCTGCCTCTGCACGGTGTACGTGTGCCCGCGCACGTTTTTTACGGAGGCGCTGTGTCCAGCATCGTGCTCGCCAGCGGCTCAGTTATAGCCGGCTGCAGTAGGGCAACCTGTTTGGCGAAGTTGCTGCTCTTGGGGGCCCTTTTGAAGGCTAAACAGGGGCGACCGCAGTTGTTTATCAGGATTGTTGTGGACGACTTTGCTTTGCAGGCGTGCGGCAAGAGCATCCAGGTTGCCTCGGTCCTCAGCTCGGGTGTGGAGTCGCTGCTTGTCGATTTCGATCGGCTCCATCTTCTTGTCGCCGTGAGTAAGACGAAGTATATTTGCAGTGCTGAAATCCATGGCCTTATCCAAGGCCAGAGGCGGATCCCGCCCTCGTCGCGTGTGGACACGGCTCGAAATCTTGGTACGGACGCCACCTTGGGCACGTGTCGTCGGGCTGGGATCGCCAGGAGCAGAGTTGCTGCTGAAAACTCTCTCGCGTCGACTTCAGATTTTAAGGAATGCTGGGGCGGAAGTGGTCTCATCCAAAGGGTCGGGGCCACTGCCGTGGCCATGTGGGGTCAAGTCTAGGTCTCAGGCTTCACTCGTTCAGGATGGGGCTGCAAGCTGATCCCCTGGTGTCCTACGCTGGCCATGTGGTTTACCAATGGGCCACGGCCGTTTGGGATAGCTTCCCGTCTAGGCTGATCCTGGGGGCGACTATGGACGCTGCGATCGAAAAACTGAGTCGTTTCCGCCACCCGTGGAGGGCGGCCTCGTCGCCAGCGGATGTGGCTTACCTTTCCCTGGACAGGATCGGCTGGAAGTTATTAACCAGTACCAGACTTCGGGATGATCTTGGGATCGTCTGGAATCTCAGTCAGCTTTCCCCCTGCGAGGTCAGGGAGCTGGTGCACGAAGGAGCGGCCAGAGCTTCGGACAGGCTGGCTTTGGAGAGTTCAGGACGCCTTGGGTCCGAGGGCCCCCTGGGATCCGATGGCGTGTTTCCTGTGTTTTGGGCCGGCCTGTGGCCCCTCCTCAGGGGCAAGAGTCAGCTTTGGTCCCCCTCACCATCAGCGAACGGTGCGCTCTGTGTTGTGTAAGGCGCATTGGCCTCAGTTGCGTGTATGTGGGCATGGCCTGCACGGGTCAGACCTCTGCCATCTTTGTAAGGAGTGCAAGGGGACACTGTGGCACAGGCAGTGCGGATGCGTGGCACACGAGAGGTACCGCAGGGATGGTGTCTCGCCTCGGCCGGCCGCGCGCGCCCGTCGTGCCTTGGATTTTGGGGTAGATGCGGGGGAGCAGTTTGCGAGGTGTGTGTGTGTTGCCAATTCCCCTGGCTCATCCCCCGAGAAGAGCCAGAAGTTTTTATAAGGTTGGTGAACAAACCTGCCAGCGGTTACCTCTCGGGTCTCGGGCTGCATTTTTAGTGACGGATCGGCTATGTGGCCGTCGTTGCCAGGCGTCTGCAAAGCGGGCTGGGTCCTCGTGCAAGTGGATCCTCCCTGGGAAACTTGCTGCATGCTGCGTACGGCCCTGTGCCGTGGAGTTTCGGCCCTCGCCAGACGGCCAAGGACGGCGAGGATCTTGCAACTCACGTTTCCATGGGTCGGCATGGCACCCTTCGAGCTGTATCTGGATTGTACAACAACTCTAGGTGTTCTGCTCGGGGGCCCTGGGTCTGGAGCTGAAGCGATGTCCCCTCGGAGCCACATGTGGAGCCCCTTGTTGGGCGGCTGGCAGAGGCTCAGACGTCCAGGCCCATAAA